CACAATTGTGTAGCGAAAGATTTGAAGAACTGTTGAAATAACAGGAGCAGAGTTTTGCTCCGTCAATTGGTCAGCAATTTGTTTGAGTTGAAAGAATGTGGTATTCGTTTCCGAGCTCTATTCTAGTCAGCAAACTTTGTAAGAAAGTGATTGAGAGCTCTATGAATCTTGCAATTGTTTCGATATGGTCCATGCAGGAGATTACACGTTGAAATCCTTGCTGGACTGTTTGAATTTCATCCAAATTTCGTGGTATGCGTGATAGTATCTTCATTTGGCGTTTGGAAAGTGCATCGAACAAGGAAATAAAGTGGAATTTGAGAAAACCCTTTCGATCCATCATCCGTCTTGCACTTCTTTGTCTTTAGTGATCCTTTATTTATTTACAGTCATGCTAGTTGCGAGAAGTACGTTGTTCGAACGAAGTGGGCTGCGATGTTGCGTTCCTTTGGAGCTGCAATATTTTGCATGCACGTGGTAATACGTAAAGAAGAAAAATCCAGATGGCTTTTCCTCATTGGGGATCTCCAGTTCGAAGGCTTCAGAAAGAACTGGTGAGGAACTACTATATAACCACCCCGATGCAAATTTCAAATCGACACACGAGGTGGTAGTGTCATCATTGTGGTTGTGATGTCCATTAGTGAAAATCCATTAATGTTCAAGAGAGCTCATAAGACAAACTCTCTTTTTATATCCCCATGTAGTTTCGAACAGCGTCTTTTCAGTGGTTCCTTTTTAAGCTGCTTTTAATATTCCTTGTTGTTTTTACCGTCGTAAATTCTCCTGCAAGGACTTACAATTGGCATTCTTTACCAGTTCTGTTTATTTCATTGCAGTAGGACTTAGCTTCATCTTCCGAAAAACTTCAGAAGTAGTGCACAGGGGTAATTCCTACTTCTTATGCTGGTGTAGCCCTCACTCTGGTCTTCCTTGATCTTCTACTTATAAGGGAGAGAGTTCCTTCAAAGATGTTTCATTTATAAACGGAATAACAAGTACGAAGGTATATGTAAGGTCAGAACTGCAATAAGTGGTGCAGTTCTGTGTGTGCCAGCTATTTTTTGTGCTTCACTTATTTGTTGTTGTTCTCTTTTAAGTCCTTTTCCGATTTTCGGCACATAGTAATATATGGTTACTTAGGTCTTTCTTTATTACAACAGTCTAAGTTTGATATAGAAATAACTGATATAAAAGGGATCCCACCCTTCGGTCGTTTGATATTGTAAAGTCGTGTTTTCTTTTGGTATGGTTTATTATTTCTCTGGGCGGAACAGTGAATTGTTATAACCATGAAACGTCTTCCTTAGATGTTCACCAATCTTTACTTTCAAATTCTATTTATTGGTTATCTAAAATAAATGTTCTTTTTTTCTTAGTGACTGCTTGCGTGTTGAGACACCGTGGCTGTCCTGTTTTCTAGTATGATTGTGAATTCTATCATTTTTGGTCCTTTTCTAAAGTGGAATTATTTCCCATGTGCAGTAGTGTGTCCAGCAGAATGTGTATGGTTATCTTTGTAGTTTTCATAAGCGTCTCATTGTTCCTGTTTCCTAGGCGGTTCATCTTCTCCAACAGCGAAAGCAATTTTTATCGCTTTTCATCTCTTTGAGAAAACTCGTAGCTGAAAAAGCCGTCCGAATGACTGTTTGCACTTCTGCCTGATGCGTTTCAAGGTTCTTCTATCGTTGGAGACCTCCATCACTTGGTTTCATTTAGCTTTCCGTTTTTTTCCGTTCCCATCTCTCTCTCTCTCTCTCTCTCTCACTCGTAGTTGTCACTTGCCTCGATACTTAATCTTCTGTACTCAGATTTTTTGCATATTTTATGACATTCTGCAACAGAGACTGGAGACTGCAACATCATCCGTAAAGAACATTATCTAAAATCCATGCAGCTGGAATATCCTCTTTATGCCTATGTCAATGAAATCAGTGAACGATTAAAGATCTTTGGTAGAACTGTTCTCACTCCTACGTACTTCCACGCAAAGGTAACGTGACATTTCCACACTAACGTGACTGATGGCATTCCAGCTGCGCATCTAGTTTGAGAACTGGAGTTTCTCATGTGATACTCGTATCCTTGTCAAGTAGGCTTCCAAAACGAGAACGTAGTATCCCAGAGGATGTCGCGTCATGTCACGTGATTATGAAGGCGTCCAGACACATGAGACTGATTAATTCATTCAGTATTCATTGGTACACAATGCTAACATTTCGGCGATTTCGACCTCTTTAGGGCTTGAAATACTCAAATTGACATGCGATGTTCGCATCCAAACATTTTCACAACCTCATCAGACATAGCTTACTGCATAAATATGGTTCGCATAATGAACAGCTTCTTTTAAACACGCTCCGGTGTGTTATGCTGGCTGAGGTCAAAAAACAAATCAGTTTGAGGATTGTCTCGAGCTTGCGCGTCATCATAACTACTTACGGTTCACTTTTGGATCTTTAGATTTTATACAGAACGCTTTAAGTGTCTTACGCACTGATGTGAATCATGGATATTTTCAGAGCTACTCATCAGGCTGTTAAAAAGCTGTTGCCCAGCTAAGGTTTTGGGGTCTTCGCCTCCTTCAGAATCGTGATAGTTCGAGTAGACTGTCCCTAGTTGTTCGTCCTCTCGATAAGCGAGGATTTCGTAGTTGCATCGAGTCGAATCTTCTGGCGTGGAGCACTATTCCAATGAAAAAACTCTACTTACTATCGGATCATCGCAACTTTGAAGAAGGTGAAGAGACCGAAACGTTAGCCAAATGAAAGTTTCTAGCACGGACGTGTAAGTTCATGAATGGAATAAAGTATTTCCGGAATAATTTATCATAGCTCTCAATTGTTTCTGTTATATGACATATCCTCCCAACGGTTTACCGACTCAACGTGGCTGGTAGGTGTTCCTGTGTGTGGGACTGCGATGTACAGCGGGGGATTCATCCCTCCAGCAGTCTCCCAAGTTGAGAAAGAGTCTGGTGTTCCCATCACGAAGCCTAGCTAAGAGTAAACCAATACCAGGATCTACCACCGTCCTGGTATCAAAGTCGCATGGTGGCAAATCTCCCTCTGATCCACAATGGCTGCGACTGCCGGTCGTGGTGACGACCTGGAGCAGACTTTGGCCCCGCTGCCCTCGGGATTCCAGGGAACCACAATGGCTTAACCAGCAACTCTCAGAAAAATGGCGATTATGCTGGAACCCGGATAACTAGTAAGGACAGGCCGTTCAAGTGTCAAGTATTAGGTATATGATATATAATGGAAACTAATTGGCCAATTATTTGAGTAGATCTAGTTATCGCGTTTTCTTTTACAAATAGGGATAGTGATCTTTACAGAAATTGTGAGACAGTCATCATCGAAAATACTTTCCTGATGGAGTGCAACGTTAAACTGTCCCATATCCGACCCTCCTCTTATTCCATTTTCATAGTTCGGTGTCCTTCCAGCATCTTCCATAGTCATTCATTTTAGCACTGTAACTACCATCTGCTTTCATGTAATCAGTGGTAAAAAACTAGGTATTGATTGATGACCAGCCACAGGTGTGTTGGGGTATTGTTAACCACTGATCTCAGCTACATTATGGACCTCCGAGAGTTATTTTAACCTGTTTTTGATTCTAATCGGTTTTTTGCCATGTGTCCCTGTGATAGATCACTGCTGTGAGATTTTACGAATTTCTAAGAAATTCTAGTTCTACCAGTTTTGGTAGTTTGCAGAAAAGTGACCTTGACTGGTGCAGTCATTCTTTTCACGTGTTTCTTCATCACTGTCAATTTAATCATTCATTCAGGTTAAGAGGTTTCTATAGAGATTCATTCCTTGTTATGATTTTAATTTATCAATTCATACTTGACATTGCTTTCATCATAAGCCAAAATCGTCAAATGGTATAGTTTTTTCTTCACAATGAAAAACATAGAACACCATTACAAGGGCCGGCTTTCTTTTTAATCGATGCGTTAATCCATTAATATGTAGTCTTCGATTGTTAAGCTAACATGAGGTCGATAAAAAGCCTTATGCGGCCAACGTTTCGGCCCCTTCGCCTTCTTCAGAGGCGGATTGATCCGTGTCGATTGTCCACATTTCTTTCTTCTTCCGATATGGATCTTCGTTGTCGCATCGAGTTGTTTCCAGTGAAGCACCGAATGAAGTAACTCCACTCGATAGTGTCTCTCTATATAAGACGATTGTTGTTTATAGTGATTGTCTGCTGATAATAACATGTTTCTTCCGGACAGTCCTACAGCAGTTGGTATCATGATCAGCTAACACAGAGCGTGACAATATTTCAAAATCAAGCTTTATATTTTGTTCCTTAAGTATTTGTTTTAAATTGGCAACATCTTCAAGAATTCCCGATTTACGTATAGGTTCAGTTTTACGACTAAGAAAATATGAAAATATTTTAGAAAGGTGTCTTACTTTTAACTCTATGTAACACTAGATGCTTTCCTTTTGAAGCTCAGGACTCCAACTTTTCAAATTTCCATCGTTGTTTAGTACGATCTTCTTTATATATTCTACTCTCCAAGTCATTTTGAAGACCGCTTGTTGTGGAAGCCACTTTGGGAATGGTTGAAGCGGTTTTCGTGGGTAGTTAGATGACAACCGAATCCAATTCTCATTTCTGAAGTAAACATGCATGTTGTAAATCTGTCGTGACATTCTGGATCGTCAAGTAATACACTGTGACATCGTCGGTTCTGTTATGGTTCTATTATGATCTAACATATTCCATTTGTATCTGAAAACTTGCTACTAAAATACGGTACTTTTATTCGATTGTCGTTGTCGTCGTCTCCTCAAAATTCTATCAGTTTTATCTTTCTCCTATTGCCGCTAAACACACACTAGTTAACGACGGCTTCATTACTTTAATTGATAATCTTTAAGCCTACGCCAGAACACTTTAAAGCATTGAGCTTCGAATAGACTTTAAACTGGATTTTTGCATATCTGGATGCTTCTATTATCAGTAGATACTTTGGCATGTCGTCGTTAAAACGGCTGATCGACGTTGGCACAGTATCACAACTGCTCAAAAAGAACATAATCAACAAGCAAGGAGTTCGTCTATTGGACTGCTCGTACGATCAATCGTTGGTAGCGAAGAAACCCGACTGGAAGCAGTTTCAGAAAGAATTTTACGGAAATTTCAATAAGCTTCTTGCTGAACCATGCACGTAAGCCTCGTCAGTTTTCATGTTTCCTATTTCTCTGGATTTGTTTGGCATTTAAATTTACTACACGTGAGGTGTTAGGCAAAATTTGCCACCCATAGTTAGTTGCATGATGAAAAAGCTCAGAGAAATAGCTGGAAATGAATCACATAAGGAATGGATATAAATTGTTAAATCAATCATATAATAAAAGGGTAAAACTCTCGACGTTGATCAATCCCAGAGAGATGCGCCATGCATTCGACTTCATCAAGCACCGTTTGGAGATGATCGAATGCACATCTGCCCTTACCATAACTGGCGGTGGCCTACCGACATATCAAGCCAGTGCTACTATTCTCTCAGACAAGTCTGGTGCCAATTTGCCGACTCCTTAGAGATGAAAGGCTTGGTCGGCCTTAGGCGCGGGGATCCATCCTATGTGTGTGTTGCATGGCACCTCCGACCACTGCGCCACAGGGCATTAAAAAGAAAAAGGCAGTAAATAAAAGGGTTAAGATTGTGAGCATACATTTACTTCCATAGAAAAACATAATACAATACAACACTAGCTGACATTTCAGCAGTATCGCCTCCTTCAGAACTTGGAAGGGTATACTAATATACAATCTAATAGGCCAAACGCTTCAATACCACTTACGAAAAGAGAAACTCTGTTGTAATTACACGATCAACAGGTTTTCGAAAAACTCACCGCTTTTACCTGACTTCCAATGGGGAAGTTTAGAACGGCTGATTACAGTCGCGTATGGTTGATGACTGCACCATCCACATCAGAAATGGATGCGAACTCATTGAAAGTCGCTTAAAAAGCGGTGAGTTTTTCGAGAAGCTGTTGATTATGTAATTACCACAGAGTTTCTCGTCTTTTTGTAAGTGGTATTGAAGCGTTTGGCCTAGTAGATTGTGTATCAGTATGCCCTTCCAGGCTCTGAAGGAGGCGATACTGCCGAAACATCAGCCAGTGTTATATTGTATTAAGTTTTTCTATGCAAGTAAATGTTTAATGTTTTCTGTTTAACAACGTCGCAATTGCTGAAAAAAGAAAACGACGCATTCAAACGTTGAACCTCATGAGATACCAACGGTTAGCTCAAAGATCGTTATATACTATTAGATTCCTAGAACATGGAGTAGATTAGAAACGGTTTATACATGTTTTCTTTAACAGTTATAGCATGTATCATCTGTTTTCCATTTCTCGTCGTCGACCTTTTAACACTCTCGCAACGACGTCTAATTTCGCGTTTTTGCGGAGTGGCCAATGCCTAGTTTTTTGCTGCACTCACAGTGATACCTATAGGCGTCACCACCGACCACTCTGGCAGTTTTAATGTACCTCTAACTCTTTTACATTCTTTTGTGGGCGATGCTTGCCGCAAGATCTGCATTAGATAAGTTATCGACTGATTACCAGAAGTGTAGGGGAGAACTTCTGCGCTATAGTATGAGCCACCGGAAAGGCAGTGACACCAATAGGTGTCTGACCGGCCACTCGCGCAAGACCGTTATGACACCTATATGTATCATTCGTTGGGAGAGCACTGAAGAGCCATTCATTTACCACAACTAATAGTCGTTTAAATGAAATGGAACCCTCACTGGAGTGTTAGATTCTTGTCCGAAATTATTTCATATTCTATTTTTCGAAATGTTAAAGGTTATTCAGATCTGCTTGCGTACCAGTACAAAACGATAGTGTTATACTGGTCATATTATGTGTAAAAAGCAAAGTATTTAGACCTTACAGTGGCAGATAGCGCATTGGTAATGATGTCTGCCATTACGATCATGGTGCCAGTTCGATTCCGCTCCCGGCCAACAAAGGCTTTCGTCCCTCCGGGGTCGAGAAACTGGTACCGCGCTTTTCTGGGAAAATTACTCTCTTTAATCCAGTTGGGAGCAATCCAACTCGGCTATCTCAGGGCTCCAGGGATAGTTCCCAGGATCGACTTTCTGTTAACCTCGGCATTGGAATATGACTACGTCTTTTCCTTGTTCAGCAAACACGAGGTTTTTAAACAGCATACATTTACTTCCATAGAAAAACACAATATAATACAACACTGGCTGACGTTTCGGCGGTATCGCCTTCTTCAGAACCTGGAAGGGTATACTGATATACAATCTACTAGGTCAAACGCTTCAATAACACTTACAAAAAAAGACGAAGAACTCTCCGGTAATTACACAATCAACAACTTCTCGAAAAACCCACCGCTTTTTCGTGACTTCCAATGAGGAAGTTTAGAACAGCTGATTATAGTCGCATGTGGTTGACGACTGCACCATCCCACATCAAAAATCGATGCGAACGTACGAGATCAGGTCGCGTATGATCTCCGGGCATTCCTCCCTGCTATTCCTTGTAGGGTTTTTGGCATTTATCCAAAAAACCTCAAGGAGTTTTCGCGCTGGTATTTCGGACTCCTGTGCAAGAATATTGACTTTTACTTCAAAATCGTCTCCTCTATGCTTTTGTTTCCTATGTGTGCCTAGTGGGGTGCTTCGTTTTAGTTTTCGTTTGCCATCTAGGTGTTCTTTTATACGGATACACAAAAGTCTGCCTGTTTCGCCAATATATTCATCAACGCAATTATTACAAGAGATCAGGTATATCGTACCTGAACTCGTGTAATCACCGTCCCTGCCGTAAGGGCAAATTATGCAGTTTTTCGTTATACATAGACTGTACATAGAGATAAAAATCAAGAGGTGGCGACGCTTCCACCATCTCCTTTCCGAAAAACGTTCTTTAGACAGCAGGACCTTAACGATGGAGCTGACATAAAATTCCGCATGCTTTCGGACGGCGTTCTCAAGACTTTTAATCACGACTGCGATAAAAAGTTTATCTCTAACCTTACAGCCGCACAAAAATGTGGCATACGAGAAATTAGAGAATTAATAAACTCGAAAACAATAAGATTGTCTTCCACGTCTGACTTTCTATTAACCTCGGCATTGATTGAACAATCCTTTCCACTTGTGTTCAGCAAACACGAGGTGCTATTCCAGTTCCCCACTCACGTAAAAGCTGACGTTTCGACGGATTTCGCCTTCCTCAGAGCCTGGAAAGGTCATGTTGACAGCAACCTATTCAGCCAAACACCTTCATAACCAAACAGAGAAAACGCCGAACCAAGATTTCAATCACATTGAACAGAGCTCTGCACACACACCGCTTTCTATGAGTCTTCCATGAAAGCCATCTTCGAACAAGTCACTTCCTGTTGAACATGAAGGAAGAATAAATATGCATGGCTTGTCCATCCAGCAGCTAATGGTTCTCTTAAAGGAGTGCCTAAACTGCTCGATTTTCAGATGGTCTGGGAAATATTTCGCACAAATAAGGGAGCTGGCAATGGAACAGCGATTGGCACCAAGCCTTGCCATTGTGTTTATGTCCAAGATAGAAGCCCCTGTTCTCGAAAATCTCACCGCTTTTTAAGTGACTTCCAATGAGTTCGCATCAATATCTGATGTGGCATGGTGCAGTCATCAACCATATGAGATTATAATCAGCTGTTCTAATCTTCCTCATTGGTAGTCACGTAAAAAGCGGTGTTTTTCGAGAAGCTGTTGATCACGTAATTACCATAGAGTTTTTCGTCTTTTTGTAAGTGTTATTGAAGCGTTTGACCTAGTAGATTGTATATCAGTATGCCCTTCCAGGCTCTGAAGAAGGTGATACTGCCGAAACGTCAGCCAGTGTTGTATTATATTGTGTTTTTCTATGGAAGTAAATGTATGCTGTTTAAAAACCTCGCGATTGCTGAACAAGAAAACGACGCATTCATACTCCAGGGAGAATTTCTGGACCAGCATTCTGCGACATTCAAAACGAAATGAAAATCCTCAAGAAGCAACAGAACCCACACGTAAAAAGTTGAAGATTTTCGTGGACATTGGTTGCGAGGAAACTATTCGAATGTGAGAAGTGCTGGGTTCCGCACGATAGATGTGAAGACGGGTCATGTAAAAAGCTTAGGCTTGACAGAAAAGATCTTTTGAAGCACGTTCTTCTAAACTAAAATACCAAGAAATTCTAAACCTCGATAATTTTCTAATCTTTTGCAAGTGTCTCCTCGAAGGTTTGGCTATACCAGGTAAAATATGTGTCATTAAGTGGTGAAAAACTATTGTTTGCATAGGATGTGCAGTAATAAACAATGTTCTACTATGATGATAGTTGGGCAGGCACTATAATTACTGATAAAAATCAGCAAGATCCTACTGGAGCTCTACTTTTCATTCTGTTAAGCTGAGTTTATTTGGGCGATTTACGTGCAGTAAATTCATAAAGGAAATTGAAGACCGGGAATTCCATAGGATATGAAACGAACTCGATAAATGCGAAATTGGTTTGCTGGTAGTTCGTTGTTAAACAAATTGAGTAAAGTAATGGAAACCTCCATACGTTGTTGCTTGGAACGTATAAAATCAAGAGAGAAAGAAAAGGTCTCCTTGATTTCCACATTCTTGAAAAATTCATTATCATGAAGAAGTTTTCAGGTCGAAGCAACTTTACCTTTCCGGACATATCCCGACTGCGTCACATATCTGCTTAGGTGTGGCAACATATCCTTCGGAATACGAACGTTACGCGCTATATCCACCTGAAATCTTCCAGGAATACGTACAAGTAAGAATGTTACATTCGTTACCATAGTTCTCTTTAAATGCAACGCGGTAGTTGGATAACTAGATGTTTACGTAGTACTTGTAAAGAGTGAAGTATTGTTACGTAGAAACTAGAGATGCGCTACACTACACAGTGGTTCTTATGCTGGTGCGATCCAGCTCCTCGGGTTCATGAAATGTACCTTCCCTCCGTTTCTTGTAAATTGGTAGTTCACATACGTGGTATAATACAAAAACTGGCTAGATTCATCGGTATGCCGCAGAAAATCATTGTATAGGCGAAATATTCGTTCATTCAACTTTATCATGCTCAATAGAATTGAATGCGTGACGCACCCCTCAGAGATTGATCAAATTCGGAAGCTCTATTCCTTTATATTTTCTATCCTGCTTTACCTGGATTATTTGGCTTCTACATCGTCCTTGAGCGGTCGGTTACTTTTACATCCCTACTTTCTTTTCTGATTTCGGTTTTAACATCCCTCCGAATCAACTAGTAGGAAGACCGAGCGAAGGATTCGTCGCCGAAAACACCTTCCTCTGATCCACATCGTGGTGAAGACCTGGAAACGCCCTCGCAAGGTTACTTTAGGACTCCAGGGAGGACCAAGTTGCGCGACCAGCAATAAGCCAGCCTCAGTACCCCGCACACTAGGCGCTCCCATCTATGACGTCAGGCGGTGAGACGACCGGCGAGAGGCCAGAAAATCTTGGGTTACGCAGGACGTCATTGGAACCGGATCTGACGAACAAATGCACGACACACCATGGAGATTGCTTCTAACTATGCACGTATAATGGCAGAACACTCTCCACAGACCCCGATTTTCACACTCTTCTTGTAGCCGCAGATTGCATTAAATTTTATGTGATCGCATTGCAAGAAACAAAAACTAAGAAGATTGACATACGCCAACTAAACAACGAGACCCTTGTGATCCGTGGAGAAAAGGTCCTGTCGCGAAATGTCGGTGGAGTAGGCTTTGTCGTCCACCCGTCCATTGTCCATCTCGTCGACTCATAAGTGAACATTTCCCCTCGCATAGCCGTACTCCGTCTTCAGGTGTCGCATTATAAGAAGATCACTATCATCAACTGTTACTCACCGACCGACTCAGTTAGTAGATACGAATTTAATGCGTTCTATTACCAGTTGGAGGAAGTTGTCCGCAATGGTAAAGCATATCATAAATTTGCTGTCCGAAACTTCAGCTCCAGAATAGGAAAGGCCAAGGACAGCGAATACAGGATCGGAAATTTTGGATCGGGAAAAAGAAATGAGAATGGGAACCGTCTCGCAGGACTGCTGTAGGCAGCACGTCTTTTCCATAGAAACTCGTTTTCCAGAAGAAAGAATGTCGCCGCTGAACATGGGAGTCTCCTAAGGGAACGATTTACGCAAGATCGACCGCATTCTGACAAACAGACGATGGTGCGTACTTGACACATCGGTAGTCCCGTCATTCTGTACTGGTTCCGATCACCGCTTTCTTCTCGCGAAGATTCGATTCAGCCGCAAGCTGGGAAAGAACTCTCTTCATCGACCACGTGAAAAAGTCTAGCTGTATACGACGAGAACATTCTAAACGAAGTGCTGTCCAAACGTGGCTGGCAGATTAAAGAAGACCGGACCGAAGATTACGAGCTGCTTGTCGAAGTGCTGAAAAGCTGTGCCGAATTCGCCACAGTACCTCAAGCAAGAGGATCGGATCGCATCTCCATCACTACTAAGGAATTGCTCGAAAGGTGAAGGAAACTGAAGCTTGATCCTACTACAACACGTTTACCATGGCTAGTAATAAATGCCAGCTGCAGTAGAGCTTTGCTGGAAGATCTACAACGGTACAAGCAGAAGAAAGCAGCAGAGAAAAGAAGCAGTCTGAAAAACGGGACTTGTGTGATTGCAATGTTCCGCTGTCAGCCTTGATGAACGAAGATGGAATCGTCAAAACTTTCCGCCATTATATGGAATAAATAGCGGAAACGTTCTACACCGGCCTCTTCCGTTCCATAATCCCCATAGCGGGCCCTAATATCACGGCTGGAGAAAACCCACCTGGAATTCTTTCGCCGGAGGTTCGAGTTGCAATAGAAACCATGAAAGGGGCACAGCTCCAGGACCCGATAATATCACTGCCGATTTCTTTAGAGCTGGAGACCACAATTTACACGTACTTCTCGCAGATCATATAACAGGCTACCTTCAAAAGGAAAAAATCCCAGACCAGTGGAGGATGTCGCGCACGGTCATCCTGCCCAAGGTAGGAGGCCGAAAGGTTCTTCGTAACTATCGTCCCATATACTTGTTAAGTGTACTCTACAAGCTCTTCGCGAAGATTATCATGCTCTCGCGCATATCAAAGTCATTGGATCAGGTGCAACCAGTTGAGCAAGCAGGATTTCGAAAAGGACTTTGTTGCGTGGACCACATCCAAACCGTGTCCAGGGTCATCGAAGGTTATCGGGAATACGAATTGCCTCTAGTCCTAACCTTTGTCGACTGTGAGAAAGAATTTTACAGTGTCGAAACGAATGCAATGGTATTAGCGCTCGTCGAGCTAGGAATGGAGCAGTCCTACATAAGGACTCTGTCCGACTGTTATCGGAACTGCGCTGCGAAAATACAGCTTTTCCATCGGCCTCTTACATTACCCATAGGAGAAGCTGTTCGACAGAGTGACACAATATCGCCAAAGATGTTCAGTGCCGCACTGTAGTGGATAATGAAGTCACTGGATTGGGGTGAGAAGGGCATGCGTATTGAAGGAAGAAAATTTCTATCAAACCTTCGTTTTGCTGACGACATTGTTATCTTCTCAAGAAGTACTAGCGAAGCAGAGGATGATCAACGAATTCAACGAAGCGGGGAAAACGATCGGACTTCGCATATATGCAAAGAAGACCCAGTTTGTGAAAAACCCATGGTGCGAAGGTGAAAAAATTGAATTGGGTGGCTATCTCATTGTAGAGACCACTTCGTACGTATACCTTGGGCGATCAATGAACGTGGAAAGCAACATGAAGAAGGAACAAGATAGAAGAGGAGAGGGGCTTGGGCCGAATTCGGGACTCTCGAAGAAGCCACCGACCAACTGAAGGAACCGAAAATCCGCGCCGATCTCTTTTATTCTACGGTCCTCCCAGCGCTCTGTTATGCTGCAGAGACGTGGGTTAATACTTCAACTACGTCAGGAATGCTTGGCATTATTCACAGAGCGCTTGAGCGATGTCTTGTGAAATATGACCGGCACTCTCAATATGTAGCCGGAATGCGAAGCTCTGACCTTCAAAATCTGTCACATCTAGATTTAGGAGAATATACATCGACAGCAAAACATAGATGGGCCGGTCACATAATGAAAAGAAGAGACGACAAATAGACGGAAAGAACTGTACAGCGCATCCTACGAGAATGCAAACGTCTCCCAGGACGACCACCTACACATTGGGCGGACTTATTCGTAAAGAACGTTGATCAACTGTACCCGCAGCTGCAGTTGTTTTACAGATCACGGTATGAGACTCGCAAGCGGTACCATGCTCGAACAAGACCACCGCCATGAACTACGATTGCGAGAGAAAAGAACGAATTGCATATGTGCTGGGGTCTGCACAGCTCCTGATGACGGACCGTCCTAGTATCCAAGTGAGTATCCTGGCTTACCACTATTTGATCCGCTTACTACATAAGTGCAGACATAGTAGTGAATGTACTTCTTTATTAGTTTCAGGTTTCCAATATTTTTAATGATTTTTAAGCTGCGATCGTTGTTCAGGAAATATTCATTTAAGATCCTGGGAATCAACGCTGATGAGCACTTGATCCTTTACGCTCGAGGAATACTAGGAGGAATGCTTCATGCAGCGAGAATCGCATGGCTCTTTAAGGTTAAGTCCTTTAAAAATTTATTCCTTTTAAGGCTTATTTGATTTGGGACTCGTTCGTGTTTTCCTTCATATTTTACGTTGGCAAATAGTAGTGTTAATAAAGTCATCTTCTGCAAGAATTAAGATTTTTGGTATTTTGAACCCAGCTGTGGCCTCTTTACAACTAGTTTAACCACTTTTTTTAGACATATGGTCATGAGAAAGTGTCGTTAATCGACGGCGGGTATGATGAGTGGATAAAACAAGGCCATGGAATCACTGAGGACGACGTAAAGCCCAGTGTGAGTTGTAAAGTTACAGTACTATAAAAGTAGGTTTCATCTTCAAAAACTCATTTTGGACACATCATTCTTCTTTTTTGTTTTTAGAGCGTATAGAGTTAAATTAGTTGTTATAAGTAGAACGATTTTTGCAACAATACGCTTCAGTTCATAAGGGGATGGCCAGAGCATTTTGAGTGTTGAAAATGAAGTGTTGAGACTCTTTGCGCAGTTAGATAGATATTTAGCTGAGAAAAGGCGAAAGGAAGGATCCGCATGGTGTGGTCATGAACGCGTTAGCCCCCTGAAAAGGTAATAACGCGTTCGTTCCCCACCGCAGACACCTGTGGTCCGGAGTTTTGCAAAGATCTCAGCATCATTGTGGTTGCATTTCAGATAATACCCTGCCGCAAAAAATTAAGTTAGGCAGTGAATAAAAGCTAAACATTCAGACTGTCTATTCTCGTCATCTAGAATGTTTAGACACTTAGAAAAATGGTTTGTTTTTTGGGCATAAATTTGAAAGAGAAAACATTATTCTTCAGCTGCTTAAACAATGATCTTCTTGCTGAAGAGGTTGTAGTGTTATCACTGATTTTTTCAATGATCGCAATACTTATTATTGTAGTCTAAGGAGATTAAGTATTTCATTGATATTACAGAGAACCTTATTCACTTTAATTTAGCGTGGCACGTGGAAGGCTGTCGATAATTTCTCAAAGTATAACATCAAATTCGAGCAGTTAGAAGACGAGCATGGTGATCGGAAATATATTGAGTATATAGACGATGTAAGGTGACATATCTTTTGTACTTAAAATGATTTTCCCTGTGAAAAAAAGACAATAACTGTAGTGGATCTTTTTTTTGTTTGAATAAAATGTGATCTGAATGTGAAACGTTCATAAGTTCATGCTTAGCATGGATAGCTCCACCTTAACATTCATCCATCCATCCATTATGAGGACGGAAGAGCGCGTAAGGCATAGTGGTTAGATTTGCCTTGCAGATCACACTGAAGCAGTCCCTGGATTGATTCAACACTTGCAGTTCGTCAAACTCTCCATCACTCCGGAGTTGACAAAATGGTACTACGTTTTCTTGGGAAGGTAACAGCGCTGTTTTGCCACATCAATAGGCCACCTGGACTCGTTAACACTCTGTTTACAAATTAGTTATGGTTATCTTTATGGGGCTTTTTTCTCAAAGGTTATGGTGTTAATAGGTTTTTGTCCCATTCATATATCACGCCATTTTTGAATATTCGGATAACAGCCTGGTAATTGGGTATCTTTTGATGTAGACGTTTCCATATCGAATAAGAAGTCACAGGTAGATTGAATTTTAGTGTTGAAAGCTTTATTGTGATATAAACCGACAAAGACGATTTTATCTTGCCTTAGCAATCTGCTCACAGCTAAGCAAGGGAATCTACTGGATTATCACGATTAAAAAATGAGAAGCTTTGGGTTGTGTGCTTTCAGTGAATAGTGTTCCTCGTTCATAATCGCTACGCAAATTCAAATACCGTACTGCATTAACTGCTATGTGTTGTAGTATCTGTCATATTATCATATCATTTTAAGGAACACTTTAATAGACGATAAACATGTTTACGAAATGTTATTGGATGAATTGGTAAACAAGTTACAAAGTATTGATATTAGATAAATGGATGACTTATGAGGGCTAAATAGTGGGCTTTTCAGCTTAATTTAGTAGATGCACGTGGGAGAGGTCAATTCGAAGGAACGGGTCCCACTGGCCTCCCACCAAGTGAGTCTACCAGCACTAGATACTATGAAATTTATCGCAGAATACTTTTCTAGATGTTACCGGCACACATATTCCTGGTTTCAAAAATTTCCCTGCAACGGAATTAGTCGAGGAAAATCTGATGAGAAGCGAGGACGAAATCAGAGAGTGTGAGTTACGGATTTGCTTCTTTTTTAGGCAGTGGAAAATTTTATGGCAACACATGGAATGGAAAGGGATAAGGAAATTTAATGTTAGTATATATACCGATAGTTCATATATAGTATTGTTAAACCGTTGAAAATAATTTGTGGCATCAGCTTCTGTTGAAAGCTCCGTACCTGGATTTTTAGGTTTAGTTTAAACTGTATAAACGCATGCCATTTATGTATTTCTTTCATTCTCATGAAATGTCTTGTGAATGGGCTTGTCTTTCCAGCTCATACATTATCCTTACATTATTGGCGATAACAAGAAAGGCTTTTCATATGCAGCGGTTATGCTTTTTGTTGAATATAGCTGTTTTCTTAAAGCGTATACGGTTGGACTTACTACTTTTGAAATTGTTTAGTCGTTTTTGGTGTACTTATGGTGTTGGGCTGCGATGTACAGCGGGAAGATTCATCGCCCCAGCAGCACCTCCCAAACTGAGAAGAAGTCCGACGTTTCCATCAGGAAGCTCAGCTAAGACTAAGGCAATGCCAGGATCCTTCACTGTCCTGGTGTCAAACCAGTCATATAGTAGGAAATCCACCTCTGAATCGCAAGCTGATTGCCTGTGACCTTGACGTCCTGGGGCAGAAGCTGGGTTGACCTCAGGACTCCAGGAAACCGCAGTGGCTAGGCCAGCAAAACCCCGAGAAAATGGAAATTATGCTGCCTCCCGAACAATCAATGAAGACGACCTTTCCAAGTACTAAGTATTTGTAGTATTGTTTTGCATTTAAACCAACAAAATATCTGATTGTAATTTCCTAAACCCTATTAGTCCGAGATGAAAAGGGATAAAGGTAGTGTGTATAATAATGTAATTCAACTTATTGGGTTATGATCGTGTTTATAAGAAATCTGGCTACAAAAAATGGACTGCTTCTTCAACTTTTCAAATTCGTATTGTTTAAGGGCTTCAAGTTCACGAATTCAAACCGAATCGGCCAACGGTTGTGATGTGTAACGTCGGATTACAGGCAGCTATGGTTGCATATGCTATCGAGACAGTGTTTCCTCACATTCTCATTCAAGTCTACAATTTGAGTAATTCATAAGGTTTTTCTGTGTATGGTTTCAAGAAAATTTACAAGAAGAAAAATTAGTGCGAGGATTGCTTAAAATATGCCAAGGAATAGAACTAAAACGTGCAAAATGCGGAAAAATGAAATTGCAAAATGCTGATGCAACAGTCGGCTATCCCTCGTGTAAAAAAAATTTTCGGGTAAGTCAGCCATAAGGCTATGTGGCAGTCGTCATGCGACACGTTGGGGCTAAGTAAAGGCCAGAAGTGACCGCGAGTTTTCCCTGAGAAGTAGTTAAATTCATGGAATGGGCTAGTTGTCTGCGATGTATAGGGCTTCTTTCCTATCTACGTAGTCAAGACATGCAGGTGTGCGTGGGTATGCTTATGTGTTTAGTGGACTGTGTTTGCTGCATTGAATCGGTTACGGGTTCTTGTTGAAGTATGTGGTTAATAACCGTTCTAGCGATAGGTCTTTTGGGTTTTTGGTCATACAATAATATTTGTAGTACTAACGATAGCGTGACAGTAAATTGTTATTCAAGTTTGTCCATTTTTAATTCCACTTTAACTCCGTTGTTTCGTAGTAATATTGACAAACCCTAAACCTTTTATATTTTTTGGAAACCAACTATTACGGGAATTACGGTAGTGACTCTCACGGAGAAGTCAATGAGTCAAATTATGAAGTTTACCTAACAGATGGTTAATTTACTTCACCTTGTAGGTTTGTACAATACTTAACTGTACTTCCTTTTTATGAGAGAGAAATGTTAATTGAAACCTTTATTTTTCTCTGCTTCTAGTTGGACCAAAGCTATTACAAAATTTATGATAATTATCCAAAACAGGAGGTTGCGTGTGGCACAGTGGTCGGGAGCGCCCTGCAACACAGACGTAGAATCGTTCACTACGCCCATGCCTCCCTCACCAAGCCTTCGATCCCTCCGGAGTCGGGAAATTGGTACCAGACTTGTCTGAGAGGATAGCAACACTGGTTCGATACATCGGTAGGCCACTGCGAGTTATTTGAAAGGCCAGATATGCATTCGATCACCTCCAACGATACTCCATGAACTCGAATGCATGGCGCATCCCTCAGGGATTGATCAACGCCGAGAGCTTCATCATTTATTGTATCAAAGTAGGCTGCTCAGTGTTGATTGGCGGTAGGGTGTAATGAAAAATTAGAATTTTCAGGGTTCAATCAAAGAGATGGCTTTGCGAAATCCGAAGAGGATATCGTCAGTTTTTGAGAGCTCCGTATAAACGACAACAGTGTTGCCATATGTGCTACAAAGTATTTCAAGATAAAGTAGTGCATGCATGAGTTTTCAAATACTTCCTAAAAGTTGTAAATAAGTTTATATTTCGTTATTTATTGTAAAATGAATTGTTTGTATAAATTCGCTTAAAAATGGAAGCTAAGGAAACAAATACTAGTTAATATTAGATGGTTATGCTCGTGTGACGCAGTGGTCGGAGGCGCCTTGCAACACATACGTGGAATCGATCCTCGTACCCATGACACATCAAGCCTTCCATACCTCCTGGGTTGCAAATTGGTGCCAGACTTGTCTGGGGGTATAGCAACACTGGCTCTATACATCGGCAGACCACCGCGAGTTATTGTAAAGGCCAAATATGCATTCAATCACCTCCAAACGATGCTAAGTGAAGTCGGTTCTCTCAGAGATTGATGAACGCCGAGTGCTTTATTCTTTTTTATTTATTAGGTGGTGATGGGTGAAGATGAACTATCTGAATATATCACTGTAGGTCAAATAACTATACCGAAAAAATAGCCCAAATTTGTGATAAAAGCTGGTGAATACATTCCCGTCATTGCTTCGCCAACAATCTAAAATATTATGAGCATCGAGAATGAACTGGGCAAAACGTTGAACTTGTGGTGGTCGGAAAGCGAAAGCCAAGTAAAGCTGAAAAAAAATCACCCATCAGAAGGTCGATAGTACGCAAAAGGAGGTATGGTTGGTACACATCTGTAATTGACGAGCAGTGGAAGGTAGCATTATCTCCCTAACAATGGACATAAACTCTTTTTGAGCAAAGCCATTTTTAAGCGACATGAAACACATTGCGTATAGGCTGGTGTTAAAAATGCATTATTCTTTTAAACAGCTAGTGGCAAAAATGGATGAGCTCTTTGAGAGGTTCTGAAGACGTTAAGTGAAAACGACGTTCACCGAAATTTAAACCACGCCTAATTGATAGTCTTATCAAACGTACGCAGACAAGAATCTTTTGCTTAGCGCTTTATAAGTCGTTAAGGATTCCAAAGAGTCTTAACTCTTTTATTTACTGCCTTTTTCCTTCTTAATGGCAGAGTATGTTGCGAAATATAACTCGTATGAAATGCTGAGATATTTGCAAAACTCCGGACCACAGGTGCATGCAATGGGGAACGAACACGCACTGTTGTCCTTACCGTGGAGCAGCGCACTTTACCACTACACCATCCGGGTCCCCAGGCAAAACGAAGGACCGGATGGTGTGGTGGTGAGGTGCGCTACTCACCGGTAAGGACAATAGCGCACGTTCGTTCCCACTGCATACACCTGTGGTCCGGAGTTTTGCAAATATCTCAGCATTTCATACGAGTTGTATTCCAAAGAGTGTTTTAATAAAAGAACTACGAACACTTCCAGGTTAAAACCGCAAAGATGTTGAGATAAGAGTAAAACCCGGTGGTTTATATGGGCATCGAACTCGCGTTTAGCCTTTCCACAGGCTGACGAGCTATCCACCACACCAACTGAGGCCCTTGCTTTGCACTCCTCTCAGTCGTGCTTTTTACTCTATCGAAGCAACCGGCAATCACCCATCAGCGAGAATGGTCTGAGTAGTCATAAATCGGCATGAAACTCAGTTAAGCTGACATTGCAGTGAAAATCACAACCTCTTAACTTTTATTTACTGCCTATTATTCCTCATGGCATGGCTTCCTCGTGTAATCTTCATCGCAACAGGTAAATGTGGCAATTAGCAGTCGAAATGCATCTATGCTTATGTGCTCATCCGTTACTTTCTTCAATCAAGCTGACTTTTCTAAGACATTTATGGTCATGGCATTCCTCGGCTGTGAATCTAACAGATCTCACATCATTAATGACGCCACTGCTTCCCTACAGGTCTCTCCTTTCCTGAACGAAAACATTCAATTATCTACGTTTGTAAATGAAGACTGTAAAAGCATGGGATCTTCCAATTATACACTGGTTATTCATACCGAACTAGATGAGAAATATTTCAAAGTAGGTTCAATCCCACACTTTACAGGCTCTGTGCCACAGATGTAGATGATTGTGTAGGAAGCGCGGCTACGGACACTACCAGCTTTGACGAGAGCCTGCACTCTTAATTGGAATAGATTACGTTTGGGGCGTCGTCCTATTTAACGATTTCTATTATAGGCAACTCAATGGATTCCATATATTTCACACTACGATAGGAGACATTGTCTGTGGTTGTCCACTAGGAGCCCTTCACTGCACGCTGACTTCGACTTGATCTGAGGATCTTTCCGTACCCACACACCATGATACACTTTTGGAGTTGGTGGAAAGATTCTGGGAAGTGGGAAATATTGGCATTATGGACAGTCTTTTCAACAAGGACGATGAGGAGCCCTAAAATCTTTTAATAAAACAATTCTCTATGACAAACACAAAAAACGATACATCGTTAAATTACCCTTTAAAGGCAGTATACATTGCTTATCCTATAGCGTGGAACTACCATTTTCTCGACAACGTGCTCTAGAGGAATTCCTGAGTGATAAACCACATATCATGAAACTATACTACTCAGGAATGATGGACCATCTGCCGCAAAGGATTACAGCAATAGTTCTATCACCAATACCTTGCTAACAATACCATTATTTGTCTCACCATGCGGTTGTTAAGAAGAAAGGCCATACTATTATACTAATGTATGCGATGGTTCTGTTAAGAAGAAAGACGGTTCTAGCATCAATGACGTTCTATGCCGCTGACGAACACTATTACCTGATCTAATTGGAATCCTCATTCGTATTCGACTCTATAAAATCTTGATTTCCAGCGGCATTGAAAAAGCTTTTCTCATGATCGGAGTTCACAAAGACTGCCGGGTCGTTTTTTCTGGCTTAAGGATCCGACACAACCCATTAACAACGGTAACATCATCATTGATCGTTTTACACGCGTGTCATTTGGCTTAGTGAGTTCTCCTTTTCTTCTAGATGGAACCATTCACCATCATCTCACTAACACTTACACTCCACTATTTTGTGATATATTCCGAAACAGGGCGCATGTGGCGCAGTGGTCGGAGGAGCCCTGCAACACGCACCTGGTCGATCCGCGAGCCCATGGCCCACCAAGCGTTCCATTCTTTCGGAGTCGATAAATTAGTACCAGACTTTTCTAGGAGGATAGCAGCACTGGCTCGATACATCGGTAGGCCACTGCGAGTCATCGTAACGGCCAAATATGCATTCAATCACCTCCAAACGATGCTTAATGAAGTCAAATGCATGGCGCATCCCTCACTAGATCAACATCAGGAGCTTTATACTTTTTCCTTTTATTTCGAAACAAATACGTGGATAACATTTTTTTATGGAGTTAACACTGTTGTCAAGGAAATTAACTATCATAACGAATCTAAATAACTTTTCCAAAAGCCGGAATGAATTTGCGAGCACATGCTAACAATGCCACTGCACTCAGTGCTTCAATGTGCATGAATCGAAGCTGTGGTTTCTAAATTTCAAAAGCTGTTAGGTGTTAGATAGAGTACAGTGGCAGGCACTATAACTTTTGCTGTATCTACCATAGATAAAACTTAGTATTCTTCAACTAAAAGACAAATAGTAAAATATTTTGCTGGCACGTTTGATCTGCTCAATTTACTCTCTCCTATTGCACTTGAAGGAA